TTGTATCTTCAAAGGTGGCATAGAGGTGTTCCAAAGAAACTTCATGAATACAGATTTCTTCCAATTCAGGGCTGATGTGAGCAGAATGACCAGTAGGTCTATCTGGATGCCTAGTAATTTAAATGAACTGCCCTTTTCTTAACAGAAGTAGTACAAATTAAATGCAGACCTTGCTATTTTCTCATATTCTACAACAGAGAGAAAACCACACCAGTTTTTTAAAAGATCATATGAAATAGGGACTTTATATCATCAATATTTTATAACTAAAGAGACATTTGATCCCACTTACAGCCACTTGCAGAACCATAACAAATGATACATTCATCTTTCACATTCCACTTAGGTTTTTATAGTTTTGGGATTTGGGTTTGTTTTGTTTTTAATGCCATGTTCATGAGGGTTTTTTTTTTCTCTTTCATACTCTAAAGTTCTCATTTCTTTACTAAAGAAAAAAAAGATCACTATTTCATTAGCAAAATGAATAACCAACAAATCAACAAGAACAATGGCAGCCACCAAATTAAATGACAATCCATGTTTTTACTGTGGTTTCCAACACTAAGGAAGCAGAAGTCTTCAGATTTTTTTTTTTTGGTTTTCTTTTTACTTTTGAACTTACAAAACAATGTAGTAAAGAGTATAACAAAGGGTGAACTAAGAAGCATTTGGTTTTCAGAACCTATCCAACTCAATTACAATGAATTCCACCACCTGCTACTGTGACGGAATGTGCTTTTACTCAAAGACATCGGGTTTATGGGCTTTGAAAAAATCCTGAGGGCTCTCATATAGCCAACACCAAAATGTGTGAATGAAATGTTCTTTATGTACTTATACTTTTCGCTATTAACAATACTAATGTCAACAAACACGTGTCAATTCATGAAATACTCATTCCTTGAATACGTAATATGTACTCAGGACTGCATTAAATTATATGAACGAGCTCTAGACAATATGGTTTCTATGAGAAGAAATCCAGGTCCACAGCCATAGAAAAATTCACCTGATGTATGTGCCAGACACATTTACAAACATGGCTCTATGTAATTTTGAGAAATACTTTTAAAATCGTAGGTATAGATGACCTCATTTGACAGTTGAGAAAAGCAATGTTTAGAGATATTTTGTCATTTGTCCAAGAAAACTTAGATTATTATTTGGAAATTTTCTTGGTATAGACTTTAATTGGAAAACCCTTGAAGAACTAGGTGGGGTTTAAAAAAATCCATATTTTTTGAAATCCTATATTTGAAAGGATATTATGTTTTTGCAAGTTTACATAAATTGTAATAAACGGAACATTCCCATATTATATTTGTATTATGTTTGTCTATTTTACATTATTATATTTTGCATATTATTTAAAACATGTAGTACAATATATAATTTCCAATATATTTATGAAATCATGGATCAGTAAAAAAAATAGATAACTTCAAACCAGTGAAAAGAATAATTCTGCATTGACAATAAATACTCTTAGGTACAAATGCTTACTTTTCAAGAAGGACTCTGGGAAACATGTGTATGTGAACGTCTTTGGTAGCCCTGGTGTTCACAGGCCTAGAAGACATATACCTAGCCATGTCTGTTCTTTCCATAATGCAGCATCAAAGGACCCCAGAGAGAAAGAAAAGGCCTCTACAATCTAAGATCCACTCTGATCCATCCTGCTTCCTCCATACCTTGCCAATAGGTTCGCTTCCCTGTATTCTGAGTAATTTATAATCTTGATGAAGGACTCAAACTAATCACAACAGTATGAGAGGTAAGGTAGCATAGGATCTTTGCTTCCAGATGGTACTCAAAGGAGGTGGTGTTGTAAACTCTTCAAATAGGATAGGAAGAGTCTACTGAGGGCTTCTTGAGAAGGTGAATTTTGGAAGAAATACTTGACATAGCCCAGTAGAGGTATGAAAAGAGAATTTTATGCATATTAATATAAGTCTGATGTTAAAAATAAGGTATTGAAAGATAGAAGAAGAATATCTGGACATAAGGATTTCTGTTAATCTATAAGACATGGATTAGTTAAAAGTAATATTAAGATTGTGGGCAAAAGCAATGTATTCCTACCATATTATTTTTTAAAAAATGTTTTTATTAATTTTTAGAGAGAGAGGAAGGGAGAGGGAGAGAGAGACAGAAACATCAATGATAAGAGAGAATCACTGATCAGCTGCCTCCTGCACACCCCCCACTGGGGATCGAGCCCACAACTCGGGCATGTGCCCTGACCAGGAATCGAACCATGACCTCCTGGTTCATAGATCAACGCTCAACCACTGAGCCATGCTGGCTGGGCTATACCATATTATTTAAGCTATACTAAACTTCATAAAAATTATTTAAATTTCTTCCAATAAAAATAATTACTGCAAAAGAGTTAGACAGGTAGGTTATAGTATTAAATGCAATCAATTATAAATATATGTTTAAAACAGCAAGGCTACATATTTTATTAAATGTTTATGGATAGTTTTGCTTTTGCCTAATATATACTAGTATGTTAAAAGTGATTACAAATACTGAGTAAATACAGGCTCTGTAAAAAGTCAATAAAATATATATATAAAAAAAAGTGATCACAAATACTGAGTAAATACAGGGGTGGGGCAAAGAAGGTTTACAGTTGTTCATATGGAAAATAATACAAAAATTAATAAATAATAATACAAGAATAAACTCTGTGTTTCATGTACTCACCATTGAAAACCTACTTTTGCCTCACCCTGTACATAACTATGTAACACTTTTGAGGAAAAATAAGCAGTTGTATAACTCCCAAAACATATTATAAGTACATTTTTTCATTTATTACAAAGACTTCTCAAAGTTAACATATAACAACAACAACAATAATAAAACCCTCTAAAATATTTAATATGCTAAATTAGAAATAATAGGCGTGAGTGGGATACAGACAGAACAAAATCCTTTCATTTACATGCTAAGGTAGAGTAAGAGTCTAGAGTATGGGTTAATATAGCATGGTTAATTTTGATGCTTTTTGTTTTCATCTCTAAGGAGACAAGTGCATACACTTTCTCATCCCCCTAAACACTAACTTGCATATAATATGCCACATGTTCAACAGCCTGTGAAAAATTGAATTCATACTACTTCTTTAGAAACAACATTAATGAATCCAGTTTTCATAATATTTGGTTTTGATTGCATAGTCTTAGTCTGGAGGCAAAGTTGCAAATGATTTAGAAGCAAGTGTCTAGGAAAAGTCCAAATCCAATTTGTTTTCTCTAATTACAGGCTCAATGCTCTCAGTGATTTTGTTTGAAAAAGCCACCTCACACACCCTTTTCATTCTTTCCTAAAGAAAGGTCAAGACAAACTCAACTTCTGCCTATTAAAAAAGGAAAGGTAAAATTCTCTCCTAATTCATTGCTAGTTTCATCTGATATTATTTTACAAAGACAAAGCACTACTTTGCTATCCCCCCTCTTCACTGACAATATAACAGATTTGGAGAAATTTAAATGAATAACAATCTATCATCCATAATCCTACCACCTCAATACAAACATTCTTGTTTTGCTTAACATTGCCAGTATTTTATAGGACAGACAACACAAGTTATTTTTGAGCATCATCCATGTATTAACTCAATTACTCATTAGTATTATTCATCTATATCAATATTACTCATACATATTTTCATATTAAATGATTTCCCTAGGTGGTTCCCTCCCTCCCTCCCCTCCATCCCCCTTCCTCCCTTCCTCCCTTCCTCCCTTCCTCCCTTCCTCCCTTCCTTCCTTCCTTCCTTCCTTCCTTCCTTTCCTTCCAGATATGTGGGTCTGATCAATTATATTCTGAAATTCTTTCTCCTAAACATCAACCTTTCTCAAGCCTATCATTGTACTTTGCCTTTATAAACTTAATTTGCCCCAAAGGAGTCTCCATATTCTCTATCCACAATATTTTGCAGATACCCCTCTTGTAGATACCTGTTACACTCTCACATATATTAGGCTGATAGACTAATCCTAATCATTTGATTAGTATTAGTTTCTTGGTTTTCTTGATGGTTGATTTTTCAACTAGAAATTGAGCTATTAGGTGACGGAAACCGTGTCTTATTTTTTTTTTCTCGCAGTACCTGACTACCTAGTGCTTTTTTTTTAAGTTTATAAGAGACATGAAGTGTGTGATCTGCAGTGTAGGAGTATTCATTCCTAAGACTTTTGCACATTATACTTATATGTGAAATAGGGACAGTGTTTAGAATGATCTTGGCTCTACCCTACTTATTAATCTCAGTATCATAAAAGCGACTGGTTTAGAGGAACAACAAATAACATGTTACAGGAAGCATTCCAATTTTCCAGTAAGAACTGAGTCATGAAAGAGAGACCATATAGATTTCATAAATAATATAATGCAACCCTTAAGAGTATTGGATTCCAAGACATGAAGAAACATGAGCCATAGACACAGTCAAATAACTTCAACAATATTCCCCCCCTCCAAAAATAGAAAAAGCCTTAATAAGATACCAAATCTGAGATCCCATGAGGTGCTTACAGCTAAAGTTTAGACACAGTGGGCCCATCAGTAAATTCATTCCTAGTCAACCAATGTTGCTAAAGCTTTAAAGAACAGATAAATTAAAATGTGTTTTGCATGGGAAAGTTTTCCCCAGAGTTCCTCATTTTTATATAGGAAATCAATTTGCATCACTGATGATATCATTCAGACCAGACAACCCAAAGTTGTTAAGAGGTAATTTAGTTTTATGCTGAAAGCAATTTGGTACTTGTTCTAATTTGTGAGTTTCATTTTGTTTGTTAATGAAAAAAATTAATGAGCAATGGTACTAGAAATACAACTCAGCAAAGCCTCGGCAATATCAGAGAGGTTGGCCATATACTGTACATCATGACCCTGTGCAGCCGGTGCCTGGACCTCCACCTGGGCGGGGCTCTCAATGTAACAGCACAGTCCAGAGCTAAAGGTACAGATGCCCTCACACATACCTTTGCACTGATTTGTGTTTTTGTCAAGAATTGCCTTTGTCGATACAATTTTTCCATACCTGAAAAAGAGAGAGAGAAAAAAAAAAGTTACCGTAGCCCAATGAAGACACTTAAAAACACCAATGAACATGGGTGTACACACAATGGAGCAGGAATAAACCAAGGACAAAGCTCTGAACTCCCATTTCACACCTGGATGATCTTTTTTCACCAGTTCTTCTCTATACCTGGAGAATGTGCTTCCCAAAATAATCACTGGGTGGAGCCTTCAGAAATAAACCTGTCAGGCTGTCATAGGTGGCTGAGAGGGGATCGCCTGTGATTGTAATCAAAGTAAATCGCACTCTGGGGATGCGTGGAAAAGTTCAGACCTAGTGCCAGGCTGACCAGGGCTGGCATCCAGCTTTGGTGCTCACCTAAGTGTTGCAACCCTGAGCAGTTAAACACAACTTCCCCAGGCCAGTCTTTTTATCTCTAAAAATGAGAATTGTAATGATCACCTTTCAGGATTTGGGAGAGTGTTAAATTGAAAAGTTCAGACTGTCTATCAGTGCTTGTAGGGTAAATAAAAATAAATGTATTTATTAGTTGGTTATTTTACTACTAAAAATATATTATGTTGTAAGTTAATTAAGGATAAAGACTGAGCTTTGTATTCTCAATGACTGCCACCAAAGCCAATAGAAGTCAAATAAATGCTTGTTATAAGTAAATAAATTATCCAATGGTACTTCATCTACAACAAAGTGTCTACCACATATTCATTATTTAATCATCTCTTGCAGACGACCTGCTCTAGGCTTTGTTTTAAAAATATGGGTTACATGAAGAATAAAATTCAATCTCTTTGAGCTGTCCCATGGGGTATAACTGATGGGACTAAATTAGGTGATTTCCTAAAATCCTATTCTTTAGGATTCCAGGAAGGATGATTCTGATTCAACATAATAACACGGAGAAGCTATCATGCAAATTTGGTGCAGTGCTTAATTATGATATCATGCTGCCTCTAAAATAGAGAAGATACATATATCAAATCTTCTAGTTCAATCAACTTTCATTTCTTTGGGAAACCAAGGCAATATAGTGTTGAGTTAAAATAACATACTGTGACAACAATCTATCATGGCTTGAATCTCAATTAAGCCCCAGTATATTTGGTTGGTTAAACCTTATGAGTTCTTTGCATCATTTCATCGTCTATGATAATATGAATCTATTTTTAAATATCGATTTTGATTATTTATTCAAATTTATATGCATCTATTTAAATCTATAACATGATGACACTGGTCTTTACCTCACAGGGTTACTGTGAGCATTAAATGGGGTTACCAAAAGTGCTGATAACAGTGGCTGGCATAGAATAAGTGCTCACTAAATATTAGTTTTTCTTGCAATGACTCTCTTCCTGTTACCTACTATATGAAAGTGTCCAGTCTTTGACATTCTCTAAGATGGGTAAGAGGTGAATAGGGGTAAAACTACTGTTCCAAATGGCAGTTTAAAACATTACTACTTGTTTAAGTCCTTTATCCATTTTGAGTTTATTTTTGTGTATGGTATAAGTTGGTGGTTTAGTTTCTTTTTTCTTTTTGCATTTATCTGTCTAATTTTCCCAACACCATTTATAGAAGAGACTGCCTTCACTCCATTGTATGTTCTTGCCTCCTTGAGCATAGTGGTTTGGGTCGATTTCTGGGTTCTCTATTTTATTCCATTGATCTATATGTCTGTTCTTGTGCCAGTACCAGGCAGTTTTGAGAACAGTGGCTTTGTAATACATCTTGATATCTGGTATTGAGATCCCTCCTACTTTGCTCTTCTTTCTCAGGATTGCTGCAGCTATTCAGGTCTTTTTTTTTTATTCCAGATGAATTTTTGGAGAGTTTGTTCTAGGTCTGTGAAATATGCCGGGAAACCATAAAAATATTAAAGGAATCCATAGGCAGCAAAATCTCAGACATATGCTGAAGCAATATCTTCACTGATACAGCTCCTAGGGCAATGGGAACTAAAGAGAAAATAAACAAATGGGACTGCATCAAAATAAAAAGCTTCTGTACAGCAAAAGAAACCATCAACAAAACAACAAGAAAGCCCATTGCTTGGGAGAACATATTTGCCAATATTATCACTGATAAGGGTTTAA